CCCCTCGGCCAGCCGTGTCCGCACACCAGCGGGGGGACTCCTGGGGTCCCACCCCGCACGCCGTACCGGTGGGGGGCTCGTGCGGTGTTCCTGAGGGCCTGGGCTGGTTGCAGGTACCCCGCTGCTCTGGCCTCTGCTGTGCGGAGCTGTGCCGCCTGGCTCGGCTCTTTGTCTTGCAGATGAGCTAACGGGCGCTCTCCCTCTTGTGTCTTAAGCTGATGAGTGCCATTCAGAAGGGCCACGTCTCTGGAAGCCGGCTGGCTGTGCTCATGAAGACTGCCGAGGAGAATCTGCGTCAGCGGGTGGTGATTCCGGTGGACCGGAGCGGTGGTGGGCTGTGAGTTCAAGCGCAACGTCTGCTCACAGCCCCAGCTAACGGAGACGCGTAGCTGCGCCTCTGCCGAAAAACATTCCAGTGCTGCTGACTGCCCTTGCTTGTTCCAGGTGACCGGTACCTGCCCATCGGTGTAGCTCTTACGAAAACACATCGCTGCGTTTGTTCTCGTTGGTAATGATTTTCCGCGCAGCTCTTACGACTCCAGTATGTGGCCTTTTGGACTGGGTGTTCTTCTGACATAGGAGTTTAGTAACAGGGGTTCAGGAGTACAGTCAAGGAAGCTCGGGGTGCACACGCCAGCACGCGTGCACATGCTGCCTTGTTCACTCGCTTGTCTATCACCTCTACCTTTAAAGAACACAACGCTCAGAAAGTGAATCCTGCCGTTAAATGCGCCGCGTTGAGTTTCGCAAATACGCGTTTGGTGTTTGAAAGCTGCTGAGCTGTGCTCTGCGACGAGGAGCCGGGGAGGGGCAGCTGGTGTCCCGAAAGGCCCGCAGCCGACGCTTCCCGGGGTGGTCACTACGGTGAAGAGCTGTCCCCAGCCCTCCGTAGGTGGCTGGGCCTGCGCTCTCGAGTTATTTCGGTGGTACCAACACTTGGCCGGACAAAAATACCGGCAGTATGAAGCTGGAACACTACAAGACATCTTGATTAATCACCCAAGCTAATGATTTAGTGAAAAACTAGGGGACAGCTTTCCTTTCTCCCGTGTTAATAAAAATAAGCTTCCTTTACTGAGCAGCCTTGTCTCGCAGGTGGTGTGTTTGTGCTGCGAGGCGCTGCGTGCTGTGCCCAGCTTTGGGCGAACACCGGTGATGCGCAGAACACGGCAGGATTTGCTAGCGGAAGTCTGAACTGTTTCTTTAAAAATTCTCAAGCACAAAGTGAAACAATGACATTTGCTTTGCATTCCACTAACTTTTATAGAAAAGCGAAAGGGCTATTTTTCAGCAGATTAGTGGAAAAAAATTTTAAAAACCCCAAAAAAGACGGCCCCTCACTTGGGCGGTGGTCAGCAGCGTTGTGTCTGGCTGTTTGTCCTTGGACTGGCTGGGTTCAAGGTCAGGTGGGAGATTTCTGCCTAATGTAGAACCAGGAAGGGAAAAACCTAATGATGGTTTATTGATGAATTTGTCAGTCTCTTCTGTTCTTTGAGTATAAATAGCAATTTACAACTCAAAACAAGCTTCAGTTCCAAGGTACCAGAATTTCTACTTGTATAAAATCTGCTATATTTTATTGTCACCGCTTTCACTAGTGGAAAATAACAGAACGGGAATGAACAGCAAAGATGTCTTTGATATTTTAAAATGGAAAATGATTACACAAAATGGAGATGCTGAGGAGTGTTAGTATGTAGCATGGTAAGTACCGATGTTGTGTTTGGCTGGAGAGGCATAGCCCTCTAAAAAAAAAATTCAGGTGTTTAAAAATAGTAGATAAAAAAAGGGGGCAAGCCTCATTTAAAATTCAGTAATATTTCTGTCGGTCCAAACAATTAGTAAAATCCGGAGAGGAGGAGACCGTCTCGTGTAAAATGCCTTTTGGGTGGTTTTTGCACGTTAATTTTGTGTTTGGACGCTGCCTCGTACCAAACTGCAGGTATTGCTGAGGGGTTATGGCTTTTCCACTTCGCGGCCGGTGCTGGCGAGGCACCGTCGGTGCGAGTGAGGAGTTGGCGCGTTTGGCAGCGTGAGGGTGGTGTTGGGAGCAGAGGGGTTGGTTTGGGTGGTCCTGTAAACTTTGCTGTTTGGAATACGTTCAGCACATCCAGGTAAAGTATGCCAGCGCGTGGCACAGCTGTGTGTTTCCAAACCCCTTTCTCAGATAGGAGTGCAGAAACAGATTTTACACGGACTGCAGAACTGGAGGGAAATGAATGTGCAGTACACAGGTTATTTTGGTTCAGTGAGCAAGGAGAGGAGGAAGGGGGACTAGGATTCGACTAGTAACAATAATTTAAAAGTGGGGGGGAAGTAAAAGTAATGAGATCTTTTCCAGGCAACAGAAAAAAAATGCTTACAATATTAAACATCTTTTGTATGGTTTAAAGAAAGTCTCCTCCACTCCTCTATAAATGGCACTGTTAAGAATTAATAATACAAGTTTACCTGGAAAGCCAGGATTTTCTGCTTTGTACCCAAAATATCCTCTTTGTTCTCTTGTTCTAGTGATATTGCATACAGACTGTGACTTTGGGATTTTCTTGGCTGTGTGTGTGTCCTCCGATAGGAATTTGCTTTGCATCTTGGGCACTTTGCTGTCACGCTTCTCTGCTCCTCTTCTCTGCTCGTACGGCACAGCGAGATCGTGTACGACTGCCCTGTGCAGCAAGAGAAGATCGCGTGTGTTACTGAAAACAGCTACATCTGCACTTGGAAAAAAACTATTTATTTGTCGCCTCACATTTGTTTGCAGGAACGTTAGCTTTGGCGTGGTGATTTTTGTTTTTTCGTGTGCAGGTGCTGTAGGAAGGGTTGTAAATGTCACTGGCTTGCATTGCTCGGCTCCTGCGTGGAAAAACAGGAAGGCGTTTTTTTCTTTGAGGTGGGAGATGGCGTTCTGGCTGGGGGTCAATCTGTGGTGTGAACAATGTGCCCGCCTGGGGCAGGGGGTGCGTGCGCACGCGGTGTTTCCACACCTGCATCCACGCTGCGCGTTCTACCGGTGGCACTTGGGCGTTTCGGTAGGTTGCTGTTCGAGGCTGAACTGCTCTATGCTGTGTTGGAGGCTGGGGTGTCATTTTTATAACTGTCTTGGTGTTTTACTGCCGTTATTTATTACTTTTGATATACAGAATGAGCCGCATGCATTTATAGAGCAATAAGAGGATGTATTTAATGTGCCTGGTTTTTAACTGAGTAAGAACTGAAAGCATGAATCAATAAAACTGATTAAAAATGGTCCCTTCACTGGCAGTTTGTTGTGGCAGTTACAGAAATAACTTTGATTAGCCTTGAAAAAGTTTATTTTTAAGGGACAACTGTTCAGATAGATGCTGCTTGGTAAACATGACACAATTTTGTCCATGCGTTCCCGATTTAGCGCAGAATTTAGCGCTTCGTAGTTTAAAAGTGAAAATTAGGAGTTAACACAGCGCTTAGCATTCTCGGGACGTGGGAGCTGTGGTGTTCGCCGCTGACACCCAGGGTGAGGTGTTCTGCGCTGCCGCCTCGTGCTAAAATTGCCGCCAGCCGCTTGGCCTGGGTTTTGGGGGTGGAGGGTGTGGAAATGCCAGTCGCGAGTGTTCCTTTGCACACTGATGAATTTTATCATAACTAAAATCAATAGAAATGAACGGAAGAGATTTCATAATCCATTTTGATCATTTTACGTGTCAAGTTAGTCCAGGGTTGCCATGTGTTGATGAATGTTCTGACAGAAAAAATGCTATATATTTTCATTGTCAGTAAATCAGTAAAGCTGTTACCAGTTTTAACGCAATTTTTATAATCTCCATATTATTTTATAGGTTTTAATTTACACTTGTAATAGGGATGTTCCACAGCTGTGAGGCAGCTGTGCGGAGTGCAGGGGTTGTGTACGTGCAGCCAGAGCAGCTCCCCTCCGCGTGTCCCCCCAGGAAGAAGCAGCGCCGCCACCTCCGGAGTAGAATTACAAAGATCACAAATTCTGTCTCATCTGTGGTGTGTAAGCAATATGTCAGAAACCGTTTGCTACGATCATCTTTGTCCCGAATATTCTGCGGTGCTGAAATCGCCTTGGGCCATG